CCGCGAGCTCAAGGGCGCCAAGCTGGTGATCGACGTGATCCGCTACGAGCCCCCGCACATCAAGAAGGCCCTGCAGTTCGCGTGCGGCAACGCGCTCGTGTGCGACAACGTGGAGGACGCGCGGCGCATCGCCTTCGGCGGCCACCAGCGCCACAAGGTGACACCAGTGTCCCCAGGGGGACATGGGACACCCCCACATGGTCCATTCCCAGGGATGGTGGCCCTGGAGGGGACCCTGTTCTAGAATCCAAGGCCACCAGCACCACAAGGTGACACCAGTGTCCCCAAGGGGACATGGGGACACCCCCTGCGTGGTCCCTTCCTGGGGACGGTGGCCCTGGAGGGGACCCTCTTCCAGAACACAGGACCACCAGTGCCACATGGGTGACACCAGTGTCCCCAAGGGGCCCCACATGGTCCATTCCTGGGGACAGTGGTGATGGAGGGGACCCTGCTCTGGAATCCAGGGCCACCAGCGCCACAAGGTGACACCAGTGTCCCCAAGGAGCCCCACATGGTCGGGATGGTGGCCCTGGAAGGGACCCTGTTCTGGAATCCAGGGCCACCAGCGCCACAAGGTGACACCAGTGTCCCCAAGGAGCCCCACATGGTCGGGATGGTGGCCCTGGAAGGGACCCTGTTCTGGAATCCAGGGCCACCAGCGCCACAAGGTGACACCAGTGTCCCCAAGGAGCCCCACATGGTCGGGATGGTGGCCCTGGAAGGGACCCTGTTCTGGAATCCAGGGCCACCAGCGCCACAAGGTGACACCAGTGTCCCCAAGGAGCCCCACATGGTCGGGATGGTGGCCCTGGAAGGGACCCTGTTCTGGAATCCAGGGCCACCAGCGCCACAAGGTGACACCAGTGTCCCCAAGGAGCCCCACATGGTCGGGATGGTGGCCCTGGAAGGGACCCTGTTCTGGAATCCAGGGCCACCAGCGCCACAAGGTGACACCAGTGTCCCCAAGGAGCCCCACATGGTCGGGATGGTGGCCCTGGAAGGGACCCTGTTCTGGAATCCAGGGCCACCAGCGCCACAAGGTGACACCAGTGTCCCCAAGGAGCCCCACATGGTCGGGATGGTGGCCCTGGAAGGGACCCTGTTCTGGAATCCAGGGCCACCAGCGCCACAAGGTGACACCAGTGTCCCCAAGGAGCCCCACATGGTCGGGATGGTGGCCCTGGAAGGGACCCTGTTCTGGAATCCAGGGCCACCAGCGCCACAAGGTGACACCTGAGGGACCATGGGGACACCCCAGGCCACCCCCCATGTGGGTCCTTCCTGGGGACAGTGACCCTGGACAGGACCCTGTTCTGGAATGCGGGGCCACCAGCACCATGAGGGTGACACCAGTGTCCCCAAGGGGACATGGGGACACCCCCACATGGTCCATTCCCAGGGATGGTGGCCCTGGAGGGGACCCGGTTCCGGAATCCAGGGCCACCAGCGCCACAAGGTGACACCGGTGTCCCCAATGGCCCTGGGCTGATGCCACCTGTCCCCACGTTGTCCCCGCAGACGGTGGCCCTGGACGGGACCCTGTTCCACAAAGCCAGTGTCACCAATGCCACAAGGTGACACCGGTGTCCCCAATGGCCCCGGCTGATGTCACCTGTCCCCAACATTGTCCCCGCAGACCCTGTTCCAGAACCCAGTGTCACCAATGCCACAAGGTGACACCGGTGTCCCAGTGTCCCCAGCTGATGTCACCTGTCCCCCGCATTGTCCCTGAGGATGGGACCCTGTTCCACAAAGGCAGTGTCACCAGCGCCACAAGGTGACACCGGTGTCCCCAGCTGATGTCACCTGTCCCCAACATTGTCCCCACAGACCCTGTTCCAGAACCCAGTGTCACCAGCACCACAAGGTGACACCGATGGCTGATGCCACCTGTCCCCACGTTGTCCCCGCAGACGGTGGCCCTGGACGGGACCCTGTTCCAGAAATCCGGTGTCATCTCCGGTGGCGCCAGCGACCTCAAGGCCAAGGCCCGGCGCTGGGACGAGAAGGCCGTGGACAAGCTCAAGGACAAGAAGGAGCGGCTCACCGAGGAGCTCAAGGTGTCCCCGAGTGTCCCCAAGTGTCACCGGGTGTCACCAAGTGTCACCGGGTGTCACCAAGTGTCACCGAGGGTCCCCGGTGTACCCTGAGGCACCGTGTCCCCGCGTGTCCCCACATATCCCTACGTGTCCCTGCACATTCCCACGTGTCCCCCGAGTGTCCCCAAGTGTCCCCGAGTGTCCCTTGAGGCGCCGCGTCCCCACGTGACCCCAATGTTGCCACGTATCCCTGTACATCCCCAGTGTCCCCACGTGTCCCTACGTGTCCCTGCACATTCCCACGTGTCCCCCGAGTGTCCCCAAGTGTCCCCGAGTGTCACCGAGTGTCACCGGGTGTCACCGAGTGTCCCCGGTGTACCCTGAGGCGCCGTGTCCCCGCGTGTCCCCACACATCCCTATGTGTCCCTGCACATTCCCACGTGTCCACACATGTCCCCAGTGTCCCCGAGTGTCACCGAGTGTCCCCAAGTGTCACCGGGTGTCACCGGGTGTCCTCGGTGTCCCCTGGGGCGCCGCGTTCCCAATGTCCCCACGTATCCCTGCGCATCCCCAGTGTCCCTGCACATCCCTAGGTGTCCCTGCACATTCCCACATGTCCCCAAGTGTCCCCGAGTGTCACCGGGTGTCACCAAGTGTCACCGGGTGTCACCGAGTGTCCCCAGTGTCCCCGAGTGTCCCCTGGGGCACCGTGTCCCCGCATGTCCCCAGCGTCCCCACACATCCCTACGTGTCCCTGCACATTCCCATGTGTCCCCCGAGTGTCCCCAAGTGTCCCCGAGTGTCACTGGGTGTCACCGAGTGTCCCCAAGTGTCCCCTGAGGCGCCACATCCCCACGTGACCCCAATGTCCCTACGTGTCCCTGCACATTCCCACGTGTCCACACATGTCCCCAGTGTCCCCGAGTGTCCCCGAGTGTTACCGAGTGTCCCCAAGTGTCACCGGGTGTCCCCTGAGGCGCCGCGTCCCCACGTGACCCCAATGTCCCCACATATCCCTGCGCATCTCCAGTGTCCCCACGTGTCCCCACATGTCCCCAAGTGTCCCCGAGTTACCCTGAGTGTCCCCTGAGGCGCCACGTCCCCACGTGTCCCCAATGTCCCCACGTATCCGTGTACATCCCCGGTGTCCCCACGTGTCCCTACGTGTCCTTGCACATTCCCACGTGTCCACACATGTCCCCGAGTGTCCCCAAGTGTCACCGAGTGTCACAAAGTGTCACCAAGTGTCCCCGAGTGTCCCCGAGTGTCCCCTGAGGCGTCGTGTCCCCGCATGTCCCCACACATCCCTACGTGTCCCTGCACATTCCCATGTGTCCACACATGTCCCCAAGTGTCACCGAGTGTCCCCGAGTGTCCCCGAGTGTCCCCTGAGGCGCCGCGTCCCCACGTGTCCCCAATGTCCCCACATATCCCTGCGCATCCCTAGTGTCCCTACATGTCCCCACACATCCCCACGTATCCCCACACGTCCCCACGCGTCCCCCATGTCCCCCTGCGTCCTGACGTGTCCCCCCGTGTCCCCCCTGAGCGTCCTGGGTGCGCTGGAGCCTAATAAGGGCACAGGGAGTTGCCCATGTGCCCTGGAGCCTAATGAGGGCACAAGGAGCGTCCTGGGTGCGCTGGAGCCTAATAAGGGCACAGGGAGTTGCCCATGTGCCCTGGAGCCTAATGAGGGCACAAGGAGCGTCCTGGGTGCGCTGGAGCCTAATAAGGGCACAGGGAGTTGCCCATGTGCCCTGGAGCCTAATGAGGGCACAAGGAGCGTCCTGGGTGCGCTGGAGCCTAATAAGGGCACAGGGAGTTGCCCATGTGCCCTGGAGCCTAATGAGGGCACAAGGAGCGTCCTGGGTGCGCTGGAGCCTAATAAGGGCACAGGGAGTTGCCCATGTGCCCTGGAGCCTAATGAGGGCACAAGGAGCGTCCTGGGTGCGCTGGAGCCTAATAAGGGCACAGGGAGTTGCCCATGTGCCCTGGAGCCTAATGAGGGCACAAGGAGCGTCCTGGGTGCGCTGGAGCCTAATAAGGGCACAGGGAGTTGCCCATGTGCCCTGGAGCCTAATGAGGGCACAAGGAGCGTCCTGGGTGCGCTGGAGCCTAATAAGGGCACAGGGAGTTGCCCATGTGCCCTGGAGCCTAATGAGGGCACAAGGAGCGTCCTGGGTGCGCTGGAGCCTAATAAGGGCACAGGGAGTTGCCCATGTGCCCTGGAGCCTAATGAGGGCACAAGGAGCGTCCTGGGTGCGCTGGAGCCTAATAAGGGCACAGGGAGTTGCCCATGTGCCCTGGAGCCTAATGAGGGCACAAGGAGCGTCCTGGGTGCGCTGGAGCCTAATAAGGGCACAGGGAGTTGCCCATGTGCCCTGGAGCCTAATGAGGGCACAAGGAGCGTCCTGGGTGCGCTGGAGCCTAATAAGGGCACAGGGAGTTGCCCATGTGCCCTGGAGCCTAATGAGGGCACAAGGAGCGTCCTGGGTGCGCTGGAGCCTAATAAGGGCACAGGGAGTTGCCCATGTGCCCTGGAGCCTAATGAGGGCACAAGGAGCGTCCTGGGTGCGCTGGAGCCTAATAAGGGCACAGGGAGTTGCCCATGTGCCCTGGAGCCTAATGAGGGCACAAGGAGCGTCCTGGGTGCGCTGGAGCCTAATAAGGGCACAGGGAGTTGCCCATGTGCCCTGGAGCCTAATGAGGGCACAAGGAGCGTCCTGGGTGCGCTGGAGCCTAATAAGGGCACAGGGAGTTGCCCATGTGCCCTGGAGCCTAATGAGGGCACAAGGAGCGTCCTGGGTGCGCTGGAGCCTAATAAGGGCACAGGGAGTTGCCCATGTGCCCTGGAGCCTAATGAGGGCACAAGGAGCGTCCTGGGTGCGCTGGAGCCTAATAAGGGCACAGGGAGTTGCCCATGTGCCCTGGAGCCTAATGAGGGCACAAGGAGCGTCCTGGGTGCGCTGGAGCCTAATAAGGGCACAGGGAGTTGCCCATGTGCCCTGGAGCCTAATGAGGGCACAAGGAGCGTCCTGGGTGCGCTGGAGCCTAATAAGGGCACAGGGAGTTGCCCATGTGCCCTGGAGCCTAATGAGGGCACAAGGAGCGTCCTGGGTGCGCTGGAGCCTAATAAGGGCACAGGGAGTTGCCCATGTGCCCTGGAGCCTAATGAGGGCACAAGGAGCGTCCTGGGTGCGCTGGAGCCTAATAAGGGCACAGGGAGTTGCCCATGTGCCCTGGAGCCTAATGAGGGCACAAGGAGCGTCCTGGGTGCGCTGGAGCCTAATAAGGGCACAGGGAGTTGCCCATGTGCCCTGGAGCCTAATGAGGGCACAAGGAGCGTCCTGGGTGCGCTGGAGCCTAATAAGGGCACAGGGAGTTGCCCATGTGCCCTGGAGCCTAATGAGGGCACAAGGAGCGTCCTGGGTGCGCTGGAGCCTAATAAGGGCACAGGGAGTTGCCCATGTGCCCTGGAGCCTAATGAGGGCACAAGGAGCGTCCTGGGTGCGCTGGAGCCTAATAAGGGCACAGGGAGTTGCCCATGTGCCCTGGAGCCTAATGAGGGCACAAGGAGCGTCCTGGGTGCGCTGGAGCCTAATAAGGGCACAGGGAGTTGCCCATGTGCCCTGGAGCCTAATGAGGGCACAAGGAGCGTCCTGGGTGCGCTGGAGCCTAATAAGGGCACAGGGAGTTGCCCATGTGCCCTGGAGCCTAATGAGGGCACAAGGAGCGTCCTGGGTGCCCTGGAGCCTAATAAGGGCACAGGGAGTTGCCCATGTGCCCTGGAGCCTAATGAGGGCACGGGGAGCGGCCCGTGTGCCCTGGAGCCTAATGAGGGCTCTGGGAATGGCCCGTGTGCCCTGGAGCCTAATGACGGCACGAGGAGCGGCCCGTGTGCCCTGGAGCCTAATGAGGGCACGGGGAGCGACCCAGGCGCCCTGGAGCCTAATGAGGGCACGAGGACCGGCCTGGGCTCGCAGGGGCTCCGTCCCCATCCCATCCCATCCCCATCTTCATCCTCATCCCATCCCCATCCCCATCTCCATCCCATCCCATCCCATCCCATCCCCATCCTATCCCCATCCCATCCCATTCCCATCCCATTCCCATCTCCATCCTCATCCCATTCCCATCTCCATCCCATCCCATTCCCATCTCCATCCCCATCTCCATCCCATCCCCATCCCCATCCCCATCTCCATCCCATCCCATCCCCATCCCCATTTCCCGGCACATTCCGACCCCTCCGTCTCCCGCCCCATCCAGGAGAAGTCCAAGCTGGAGAGCGAGCTGGCCAACTTCGGCCCCCGCATCAACGACATCAAGAGGATCATCCAGGGCCGCGAGCGGGAGATGAAGGACCTCAAGGAGAAGATGAACCAGGTGGGGCCACCCCGGGGTCCCCGCGGTGTCCCCAGGGTGTCCCCATGTGTCCCCATGTGTCCCCATGTGTCCCTACATGTCCCCATGTGTCCCCATGTGTCCCCATGTGTCCCCATGTGTCCCCACGTGTCCCTACATGTCCCTACGTGTCCCCACGTGCCCTCTGTGTCCCCACGTGTCCCCATGTGTCCCCATGTGTCCCCAGGGTGTCCCCGCGTGTCCCTGCATGTCCCCACTGGCCCCTCCTGGCCCCCCATGTCCCCGCGTGTCCCCATGTGTCCCCACATGTCCCCACGTGTCCCTGCATGTCCTCATGTGTCCCCATGTTTCCCCATGTGTCCCTACGGGTCCCCATGCGTCCCTACATGTCCCCTCGTGTCCCTGCATGTCCCCACGTGTCCCCGTGGTGTCCCCATGTGTCCCTACATGTCCCCATGTGTCCTCACGTGTCCCCATGTGTCCCCACGTTGTCCCCACGTGTCCCTGCATGTCCCCATGTGTCCCCACGGTGTCCCCATGTGTCCCTGCCTGTCCCCACGTGTCCTCACGTGTCCCCATGTGTTCCCACGGTGTCCCCACGTGTCCCTGCATGTCCCCATGTGTCCCTACAGGTCCCCACGTGTCCCCACATGTCCCCACAGTGTCCCCGCATGTCCCCACGTGTCCCTACATGTCCCCATGTGTCCCCATGTGTCCCTACATGTCCCCATCTGTCCCCGCGTGTCTCCCCA